TTGAGCCCAACGCGGCGGTCAAACTGGAGGCCGCCACGCCGGACGAGCTGCGCCTGGAGATGCGGAAGGTCAAGTTCAAGCTGGACTACGACGGCGCGCGGGTGCGGGAGGATGCGAAGCTCATGCGCGCTGCGCGGCTGGCGCGCCGAAATCAGAGGAGGGGTAAGCTCGAGGAGCCGTTACCTGAAGACGTGCGCGATCCGCCCATCGATTCGAGACAGTGGAATCTCGAGTGGATCGGGGCGTCCGTGGAGCCTGCGCGCTTCGTTATGCCTGGTCAGACCGCGGCGGATCTGGAGCGCGAGGTGGAAGAGTTCCTGGATATCCTGGAGAAGCTGGAGGAAGAGGAAACGCGCCGGGACGGAGCGGTCAAGAGACAGCGAGAGGCTTCGCCGGATTTCAAGCCCCCTGCTGTCGTACCTGCAAAGCCAACAGGCAGGCAATCGCTGGGCAAGGACCTCGGGCCGACGGTGGAAGCTCCGGCCAGAGCGACGAGGCAGCGGATAGCGTCGACGGACTTGAAGCCCCCCACTATTGTGCCTACAAAACCGCCGGGCAAAGGCTTCGGGGAAACGGTGGCAACACAGACGCCAAGGCCGCTCAAGCGAAAAGGCGACTGCGACCGCCCTCAGCAGGACCACAAGCGCATTCGCATAGATGCCTGCGCACTGCCCCGTTCTCCGCCTCCCGTCAAGGCGCGCGACTTTGCCCTCGAGGCACCCACTCCCTCCACCTCCCGCCCCCTTCCCGCTATCATCGCCCGTGACTTTGCGTACGAGACGCCCCGATCCTCAGCGCCCCCTCGACAGCCCGAACCTAAACCGCTCGACGCACCACCTCGACAGCAGCCTCCTGCGCCCAAACCGACGCTCGACACACCCACACCTCCCTCATCGTCCCCAGCGAAGCGCAAACGCACCACGGACCCCTGCGACGAGTCCCTCGAGACGACGCGCGGGCGGCCCAAGATGCGGACGTCCTTCGCGTGCGACGTCTCTTCCGAGCCGTCGCCGGCGCCCAAATGCGCCACCGTGTCGATGGTCATGCTGGACGCTGTTCCCCAAAGCAAAGCCGCCACCGCGCATTCTGTCCTGCAACCGAAAGCCCAAGACGCACCGCTGCTGGTGCGGTGGATTGGGGAGATGTGGCGCTTTGTGTCTGCTTAAATATTATTAAGAAGAAAGTTTATACTGTACTGTATATATGTACTGTGTATGTACTAGGCTGTTTTTTCGTAATATGTACAACGTAGAATTATGGTAGAAATTTTTCGAGGCCCCTTCGATCCGTTCACGATTCGTATGCATCGCTTGGACCGGCACGTGAGGGTGCATCTTTTTGAGTGGAAAGTCTACGAGGCGCAAGTTGACCTCTATAGCCAACCCATTGGGACGCCCATTGGAAACACGCGTATGCCCGTGCTCGTGCCCGCCAAAAATAATCGACGTAGTTGAGCCAATCGCACTGTCAGCCACTCGCTCGTATCTTTCCTCCTCCACCACCGCGGCCACAACCAGCTAGCCGCCAACCAGCTGAACCGCACTGGTCCGCACTCGACATGCATCTCGCGGAGAAGGCGAAGCAAGGTAGGCGCAGTACCAAATCCCCTACGCCGACACCCTACGCGCCCGCCCTATCTTCCTCCCAGGCCTACATGAGTGTAAATTTAAATCAAGGTAAATCAGTACAAATTTCAATGTACCGCCAAACGAACAAACGCGCACCTCGAAAAACCGCCGACGGTCGCCGACGCGCACGCCACGACAGCTGCGGAGGCCGAGCGTCGCGAGGCGCGGGCAGCCGTCGAGGACGAGGAAGAGGCCGTCGCCTGCAGGTAAGGTTAGCACAGGGATCAAGAGCGCGAAGAAGGTGAGAGGAGCGCCGGGACGCGCAAAGCTCAAAGCTCAAAGGTAAACGCCGCACACTCACTCGTCATCTTCGTCTCCGCGACCTCAAGCCATACGAGCTCGGGGCACGCAGCGAGGAACGGCGCAGCGGCGTCGTCGATCCCGGTGTGGTTGAGGATGAGCGTCTCGAGCGCGGAGGCAGGTCTCCCGGCGCGGTGGGGCAGAGGCCGGCGAGGTGCGTGCTGCGCAGGGCGGGGAGGCCGGAGAGGTTGAGCCACTGGGGTGCCGAGGACGAGCAGGAGACAGGTGAGATGGGTGGGATGGAAAGGAAGGCAAAGGAAAGGAAAAGAAAGGAACGCGCACCTTGCACTTCCGCCCAACAGCAGCCACGAACGGCGCGAGCGCCGCCCCCAGCTTGATATTCCCCACCAGACTGAGACTTTCGAGCCTGTCGCACGCCTGGAGGAGCGGGACGACCTTGAGCAGCGCGGGGTCGGTGAGCGTCATGCTCGAGTCGATGGCGGCGATGCTGCGCGGGCTCGCGCCGAGGGCACCCAGGGCTAAGGTTGTGAGGCCCGGCAGGCGCGGGAGGAGCGCGAGGAGGTCGGCGTTGGAGTGTGGGTGGAGGTGAGGGAGAGCTTCTCGAGCGCAGGCAGGTCGTACGGGCCGACGAGCGGGTGGCGGACGGCGGTGAAGGAGATGTCGAGGCGGCGGAGGGCGGGACAGAGCGGGAGGAGGGCGTTGAGGGAGACTTCGGAGATGGAGAGGCGCGCGAGCTTGAGGGTGCGCAGGTTCGGGAGGGAGAGGGCGGGGGAGAGCATCTTGGCGAAGGTCGTGTCCGTCTGCGTGCCCGTTAGAGGAAACATTGGCATAACAACGGGCATACCCAGTTGGAGATGCCGGCGAGCTTGAGGACCTCGAGGCCCGGGCAGGCGAGCAGGAGGGGCTGCAGGGACGCGGGGGTGGCTGCGGTGTAGTTGAGGTTCAGGACTTGGAGGCGCGTGCACGACGCGGCGGCGGCGACGGTCTTCGGCCCAACAAGCGTGCATCCGCTGGGTATCAAATGACTCAGATATGCGAAAGCGGAGCCGAAAAGAGTCAGATATACCGCAGACGAGGCGCTTGAGGGCAGGGAGGCGGGGGAGGACGGCGGCAAAGGCGGTGTCGGGATCTTGTCGAAGCCAGAGAGTTCGAGATCGCGCAGGTCGGGAATGCGGTCGATGGCGCGCACGGTGTGGGTCTGCACACCAGGCAGTCCAGATGTGAGGGCGAGAACTGGTCCACGGAAGAAGTAGGTGACGAGGAACTCGTGCTTGAGGAATGTGGGGCAGACCCGCACAAGCTCTGCAAGGAGACGCGGGAGGAGGGTCTCGGGGAGGGCCTTGAGGTGGACCGAGACACGAGCCCAGACGCGGTCGTTGTTGCGCAGACGCACAAATCCTCTGCAAAGACGCGGGAGCACAAAGTAGCCAGAGTTGGAACAGAGGTGTATTTTGGTGTGCGGGTGCTTAGGGCAGACGAGGCCGAGTCGATTAAACCTGCAGACGGCGAGTCGTCCTCTGTGGGAGCTCCAAATTCGCGGTTCGACGCGCTGGTCCGTGCACGTTTATTTCGCGACATGGACGTAGAAGGGAAGGAGCAAAATGATGCCATCAGATTAGATTACTCGCTATCTAAAAATCATACACCTCGGCCGGTCACTCTGGAATCCCACCCGCTTGCGGCTCTTTTCGTTGTTGTCGTCGCGGCTGGCTCGACGCTCGCCTCCACGGGGACGCCCTCCACCTCGACCTCCACCGCCGCTCCAACTCTTCTCGGGCTCGCACCTCGACACACTCGCAGCGGCGCACTCGTCCGCCGCTCCCCAACCCCGCCCTCCACATCCAAATGCACCGTCTCAAACACCAGCCTCTTCCTTGTGCACTTGAACCCCAAATTGTTCTCCCCGCCCCCGCCGCCGGCGCCGCCCGTCCCGCGCAGCGCTGAGAAGCGGTCCGACGCAGGGACGAGCGCGGTCGGCGCGGGGAGCGTGTGGATGCGCAGGAGGCCATGGTGTCCCGGGAAGGCCGCTGCTAGTGCGGGGTTGGCTGCGCAAGTATCGGATTAAATTAAATAGACATAATTAAGTGTAGGAGCAAAGGAGACACACCCGTAAACGCATCCATCGTGATCGCCGCGTCGGACACCCACCCCAGCTTCTGGTGCCATCCTGCCCCCGCGGATCGCCCGACCACTCCGCCGCGAGGCTCACCGATGCGCAGCCGTGCGGGTGCCGACGGAGCAGCGCGCGGAGACCGTGTAGGAAACGCAGGATGTCCTGTACACTCCAATGAGTTAAAGTCGGCGTATATGTAGACGCGACCTGCGCTGTGATATCGCCCCACCGCGGGGATCCAGGCCAGGGACGCATATCCGCAGGGCAGCTGCGCGTCATGCGCCGCAAGCACCCGCGCAAGCTCCGCCAACACGCGCGTCGTCGGCGCGTCTTCAACAGACACGAACGCGAGCCGGCCCGCGGCTTGGGCGTCCGCCACCACCGAGGGCGGGACGCGCGCGTGAGGTCAAAGGTGCTGCAGGCTGGTGTGGGTTACATGTACTTCGCACCACAAGAGCATGGGGGAGGGCACTCACGAGGAGGAGGCGACGGTGGTCTGGAAGGGCTTCATCTGCTCGTATCGCCACGCGATCGTGATCTTGTCCGCGCTCGGGCCTGGCTCGTCTCTCCTTTGCATTGCTACCAGGGGTGGGGGCAGCCACATACACTCGCCGACCCAGCGGCGCTGCCGACGACGCAGACGTGCTGCTGGGACGCGAGGCCTGGGCGACAAAGTACTTTTGGACGAGCTCGCGTATTGGGAGTGGAGGTCCGGCGCGGTGAGGACGAGGGAGCACGAGAGCGGGAGGCCGCCGCCGAGGATGTCGTCGAGCGAGGGTATGCCGGTTGAGATTAGGGTTGTGGTCGGTGCTGCAGCTGTGGGCCTGCTTGTTTTGCGTTTGAATGACATTGTAGACGAGAGGGTATCTAATCTGATGCCATCATTTTTCGATAGGCGCTTACAACGTACTGAACGAAAAAAAATGCAACCTATAGCTATGGAGCATATGACTTGACCGGCAAAAAGAAAAGAAAAGAAAAGGAGCTTCGCAATGCCATGACCTGACCCCGAATCGAACGAGGGACCCTGCACCAGGAATTGAACCACGATTATTTTCGCAGGCGCACTAACCGCTGTGCCATCAGGCCGCTAGAGCAGATTAGGAGTTGAGCACAGCCAATTCAAAAAAGTTCGTGTCCAAATTTAGAGACACAGTCTGAAACCAAAGAAAATTGTTTCCGATACAACTGCTGTAACTCAAAAGGCTCTCGAGCCGGGGGTATCAACACAACATTCGGGAAAGCCAACATTGAATGCGCTAAGACTCTGCCATTGTCTCAACCGTCTCAGCGCGACCAACACCAACACCAACACCAGCGCAGGTCTTCAACATAAGCGCCATTGTTGTATTCAATCGCGTAAAATCGCCTTGATCGGACGAGCTAATTTTTTTGCTCTTTCGTGTTGGTTTCTATTGGATGAGGCTCAGAATAAAATTGCTGTTTCATCCGCGGCGGCGTCCGTGGCTTGTTACAATTTGGAGTGCCAGCAGCCTGTGTGATCAGGTATGCAATCACACGGACCACGACGGAACGGCCGAGGCGAGAGACGAGGAGAGTGATGCGGCGGTTGATGCTGATTGAGCGGAGGACGCGCAGACAGACCTCAGTTGATAGAGAGCGCTGAAGGAACAGTGGACCGGGTGAAGTGATGAACGGATGCAAAATCATGGATGGGTTGTTGAGATCTGAGAAATATGGACAAGGATTGGTGAGATGAGCTGGGTGTTGTCAGTGAGTGAAACTGAAGCGTCGCTTGAGTGTGATGGATGTGCCTGTTGCGTGCGGAAGATTGATGGCAGGGTAGACAAACAAGTGCTCTCTGCTTTACCCAGGCGTGGAGGGAATGGACCAGCGATTCTCGTGGATGGAACTGTCTGACGATGAGAGCAGCGTGTATGAAGAATCAACCTTGAAATCTGGTCTGTTTCGCCTTGTTTAGGTCCCTAACCTCTCCTCCTATAACTCACTGTCTCTTCTCAACAGCCATGGGCTCCCATGCCGTCCTCGAGCTCAATAGCCCCTTGGACGCAGAGTCAAACAAAAATATCGCGCTCTACGGCTATTCAAAGTCCTTTGCTAGGCCTCCAAAGATTCCCTCCTCGCTCCCTGACCCCTCCCATTTCCCCGACCCTTACCCATATCGCCAACAGCACTCGCTTTCTTCTACTCCCCCGGCCCTCTCCTCCTCCTCGGGTTCAGCCCGTTCCTCCGCGTACACCAGGGAGGCAGCGGCGGAAGTGCTATGGCAGCGGATTATTCCCATGTGCGAGTCGCGTCAAACGACACGGACGACGACGGCCGTATCACCTCAGACTCCGTCGGCCAGCTCCTCGCGAGCGACCCCCGTGCCTCAGAGCAGTCGCGCTGGTCCGAATCCTATTCCAGCGTCCGTTCTCGCTCCTCAACCAGCGCTAGCAGCACCGACCACCACCTCTCCCCGCGTCTCCAGCAGAAGAAGAGCTACGACATGGGCTGGCAGCACGCCGTCGACGAGCGCGACGAGTTTGCCGCCAGTGAGGAGGAGACCGACGAGGATCACATCCTGCTGCAGGACGACGATGACCAGGAAGACGACGAGGAGCGCACTTCCGCCGCTCTCATTGCAGAGGAGGGCCGCGGCATGATCGTCCAGGGGGAGGGCCTCCTTCTCTCCGACCTCAATGTTCAGCCCGGTGCGTGTTTATGCTGTATACCCATGCCCCGTGCCCGCTCGCTAACCATCCATCAGGCACGACACATCTGCTCCTGGGCTCGTCCGGCTCCCCCAATGCTCTCCCCTCCTTTCTCACTACTCTCGTCCCACAAATTTCCACGTCCCTGCTCGCCCTCGATATCTCCGCTAATTTTCTAAACGCTCTACCCCCGACTCTTGCGCTCTGCGTCTGCCTTGAGGAACTCAATATCGCCTCAAACCCCCTGCGCGTCCTCCCTGTCTTTCTCGCCGACCTTTTGCACCTCCGCGTCCTCATCGCAGACTCGACCGGTATCAGCACCCTCCCTGATACCCTCGTTGATCTTGACAAGCTTCACCGATCAGCATCCGGCGCAATAAAATGCACGCCCTCCCCAGCTGGCTCGCCCAGCTTCCCGCCTTGCAGACCCTCTGCGTCGATGGCAACCCTTTCCAGGGCCCATGGAAGGCTCTCGTCGAGCCGCTACTCGCCAAAGTGCCGACGACCCCCGTATATCCACCCTCCACCCCCATGTTTCCTTTCCATTCTCCGTCCTCAGGGGATGCCGATACAGATGACGACCTATCCGAGCCCCCTAGTTCAGGCCCCAGCCGCAGGGGATTTGAGACAGTGTCCCCTGAAGAGGAAGAGTACACCATCACGCCCGACCGAGCGCGTTCGCCGGGCGAAGGCCGCGGTCTCACCCGAACACGCACCACCCCGAACCGCGCCCACCACCTCATCAACCGCCCCGACACCGCCAAGCCCAGCCAGTGGACGATACGGGCTACTTTGGCGACCACGAAATCCGCCGCATGAAGAGCGTAGGCGATCTACGGCCGAACCACGGCGCCGACCCATCTGCCCGGCCCCCTATGCAGCACTATGCGACTTCGCAGTCCAGCACAATCTGCTGAGCCAGACGCCGCCGCGGCCCGGCATGCAGAAGCGGTTTGCGAGTGTCGGGCCCGCGAACGCGATGAATGGCAGCCCGTCGCGCAGCGCCCCTGGCAGCGCGCGTCTCCCGCTCACCCAGTCGATGTGGGAGAACAGCGCCGCACCGGAACGCGTTGACACCAACTCGTCGCGGTCGCGGGGCTCGTCCTTTATTGCGCAAAACAACACGTCCCCGCCGCGGGTGTTGCCTTTTGATGGGGGGACACGATCCGCGCTGCGCCCGGCAAGGAGAAGAGCAGCCGGTGGGGCTTCTTGAAAAAGATGTCGATGGGCAAAATGAAGATCGACCCCCGTCGCCGCGCCCGCTGCCCCAGGCGCGGCCCCAGATCATGCGCGGGCCCGCCACAGCACCTATGTCGCGGGGATCACCTGATCGTTTCGCCCAGTCGCCGCAAATCAACATGCGCATCTCGACCACTGGCACCCTGGACGCGTTCAACCCGCCACCTATGATCCACCACACCCTCCCTCCTGCGGCGGAAGAGGAGGAGCGCTCACCACCACCGAGCGCCGTGTCCGCACATCCCCCAACCTCCTCGCCCCGCCGCCGCCGACGACGCGGACGGCCAAGCGGCGGAGCTTCCTCCCGATCGACTCGCCGCTGACGCTGAACATCCCGATTCCCGAGGCGGCGGCGTTCGTGCCGGGGATGACCGCGACGAGTGACACGGACGGGCCCGACGGTGCCCGGGTGGAGACGCCGAGTCCTGTCGTGGAGACCTACTTGCGACGCGAGGAAGAGCGCCAGCGCGAGGCGTACCAGCGCGCGCTGCGCTCCGTGATGGCGTACCTCAAGGACATGAACGACCTCGGGCTGTCGCAGCAGGCGGCAACGATGGGGATGTACGGAGCCGGCGGGGACGAGGTGCTCCAGTCTCGCTCGCGGCGGCCGACGGGGGCGGGGCTGGGCTCGACCGCGAGGCGTCCATGTCGTCCAATGGGAGCTCCTCGCTGGACTCGGTGGGCCAGCTGCGCTCGATGGACTCGTTGACGGGGATGCGTGCCGGAAACTCGACACAGACGAACAGCGTGGCGACGACGGACAGCAGTGGGTCTGGCAGCGACGAGCGCAAGTTCAAGGACGACAAGGGCAAGCGGCCATGGTGGTCCGCGAGATTGTGGTGTAAGTTTTGTGGCGCTATTTGCTGTGCGCTGACCTGACTGAATATGACTACATAGAACGGACGGACATACGTGAAGGGCCTGCAGGAGCTCGTCGACATTTACATCAAGCCTGGCGCGGCGCCGGTCAACGTTCTCGGCGGCTCGAGCAAGGACACCGTCGTTCCCGCGGCCGAGCGCAAGGTCGTCTTTGGCGGCATCGATGCGCTGTTCTCCTTCCACAAGGAGAGCTTCCTCCCTGCACTCGAGATTGCCGCCGCCCCGCTGATGAAATCCAGCGCCGAGTTGGCTGAGGCGGACGCGGACGGGCAGCTCTCGCTGAATGTGGCCAAGGCCATTGGGAGCATGTTCCTCAAGCACGCCGCATTTATGAAGATGTATTCAAGCTACATCAAGTAAGTGTTTCGTCTATTTTCTAATCTTTGCTCGACCGGGAATAATGAATATTGACTGCGCCCGTCTTTTAGCAACTTTGACAACGCTGTCCAACGTGTCAAGAATTGGACAGCCACTCCGGGACCATCCAACACGTCGCCAGCGATGACGCCGTCAGCGACATCGACATCACAGCTTGCGGGGCTGGGGTTGACGTTGTCAGCTATTTCGAGCCCGGTCGTCACACCCGACGGCGGCGCCGCTGGCCTCCCCCCGCTCTCCACGAGCCAGCGGAAGCGGCTGCGGACGTACTTGAAACGGTGTCGGATCAGCCCCAGGCATTCGCAGCTCAATCTCGAGGGCTACTTATTACTTCCTGTGCAGCGGATACCGCGCTATCGGTTGCTGGTGCGTCTATTTTTGTTTGTCCTGCGCCACCATGCTGATCGTTGGGTTGTAGCTGGAGGAACTGCTTCGGGCGACGCCTCCGACGTATGAATACATGGACGACCCGCTAGACCGGTCGTTGGCGGAAATATCATTGCTGGCCAATAATATGAACGAAGGGAAGCGCGAATCAGAGTCTCGCCGGAAACTGGTTCAATGGCAGGCTCGAATACGCGGCAAGTTTCCCAGTCCTCTGGTGCAGCCGCATCGGTGCGTTTTCCTTGCGCAATAACTAGTTAAAGTCTCTGACGTTGCGCAGACGTCTTATTATGGATGGGCAGTTGCTGTTAACGCGGGTCGTGCGGAAGGCGATGGTTTCGTTCGAGGCGATCAACGCCCAGGGGGATCCTTGCACGGTGCAGGTTGACTGTCTCGCTCCGAACTGACACCGCGGCCACTCGTCGGCATTCTATGCAACGACTTGTTGGTCCTCTGTCGGGATCCGTCGGAAGGGCAGGATCCGACCTGTCATGTTGACCTGTGGGCCGTGCTGAGGATGCAGACGCTGCCACA